TGTAGGAAGGCAGCAGACTGTCACTTGATGAATACTAGTGATTCTTATTACAGATCTAAATGTACTCTGGTCCCATGTCACCTTCATTCTTATTGCTCTAGATTGTGAATGCCAGACAGGCTGATTCACAAAACCCAGGTTCTGAAAAACACTAGCATGTTGACCAATAACTGAACCCGCAGTGTTCTGACCTCTATGCATTTTTTCAACAGGCTGCTTTTTGTCTGAGTTTTTGGTTTTGAGGTTTGGGGAGGTTTTTTGGCTGTTTCTTTCCCTCCTTCTTTATCATATCATCTTGTAACGTGGATCTGCCTTTTCTGGAAGGAAGTTGGAGTGATTTGCATGGCTGTTGCCCAGGAAAAAAGGTGGTGTATTAATATGGGAGGAATGTCTAGTGAGTACTGTGAATTTGAATGAAATAACAGTGATCTTGCAGATTTGCAGCAGCGTTCCTCAGCTGCTTGTGTTGTACGAACTGGACTTGAGATTATTCCTGCATCTTTTCAAGTCACACGTCCTCCTAGACAGCAGGGTGCAATTTATCCTCACGTTACCTATCTAGCTTCTTGACCTTTATTGTTCTGGTATTTGGGGTTCCACAATTATTAATAGATTATATCCTTACAGTAGCCTGGTGAGATAATGATTAATTCCGATCCCTATTATTCTTAGTGCAACAGGTCATTTCATGGGATTAAGTAACTTGCCTAAGGTTACAAAGGCTGTTTGTGGGAGAGCTGGGAAGTGAACCTCAGTTGTGGAGTCCCATTCTAGTGCCCTGTCCTCTTAATCTTATGTGTGAGCTTGATGCAAGACAAGTCGTTTCTGCAGAACTAATTGGGAGACACAGAAAGTAAGTGGGTTCTAAAACTTAGAAAATTCCTTGCAGTGCTGCAGTATTGACCATGACCTCTCTATTCACATAAGAAAGATCACCTATCCTTAAACATCACTGAAGCGTGGGGACTATTTGGCACTGCACGTCCCTTCAACACACTGGCTCAGGGCAGGCAGGAAACAAACCTCTCCCTAGTGGAACATGCAGAGGAGCATGATCAGAGAGAGTTATGCTGGTTCAAGTCATAGCTTAACCTGAACACCAAAATGGAGACCTTTTTACTTGGAAAATCTGTTATTAGATTTTCAGTGGCAGGTGCTTGCAGGGTATTTCATGTTCTAGCCAGGTAAACAGTGGCTGAAACGGGCTGTTGTAAAATGGTATGTCATACCAGCACAGCAAATGTGCTAACCGAGCTGTACAAATAGGCTAATGACAGGATTTCAAAATTGCCATACTGGGGTGGCTACATTCACATTTCTGCCACTGCCTTCTCAATTTACCTAGCGAGCCACTGAGTTGTCTTAGTGTATCTGTGCAGTCTTCCACACAGAAGCTGTCGTGCTAAGCTTGCAGGAGCTTGCTGGAGCCTGGCAGAAGGCAGAGTGTCCCTGCTGGCCTCTTGCAGGAGGGAAGAGTCACTGTTCTTGACCCCCAAGAGAAGTGTTGCTCTGAAGTCCCACACGGGATGTGGCTGAACCAATTAAACACTGCAAAGCCATAATGTGAAACAGCACTCAGGGAAGCGGGGCTAGTTTGGGCTCCTGGGTTCCCTAACCCTGGCAGTTCAACTGGCTCCGTCCCCATATAGGTCTAGTAGGATAGCTCTGATATTCTAGAATGAGTTTCAGCTACAGGTAGTGTTTTTCCCACTTTCCTTAGGTCCTTGCTTACTTTCTCCTCTGTGAGAGTACACTCATCACACTTCATCATCTCTGACTCTGAGCTAGACTTTGCCCAGGGGAGAGAGGGAGGGAAGGGGCAGATCTCAGATACTCTACCATTCTCCATGTGGTTCCTCTCTATGAAGTTGCGGCCAAGGTCGGCCTTGCAGATCTTCTCCACATGCCTCATGCAGACATTTAGGAGGTCATCTCTGAGGAGTCCCATAGATGGGCTCATGCTCTCCCCTTCAAGCAGCACACTGTATGTTGGGAGAGATGGAGGGGGGACGTAATTCCGCATCAAAGCCCCAAACTCCTGACAAAAAGAAGGGAGGAGAAGTTACTGAGAAACATAAGAGACAGGCTACATCCTAGGGCTCTGGCTAATGCTAGGCTCCAAATAATATGAAGTGCAAAGGAGAGCAATAAAGATGGAGGGGGCAGACAAATGTTCTGCCCATGAGCTGTAGCCATCTACAAAAAATGCCTAAATTCATTCTTCACCTACCAGAGCAGAGTCAGCTTCAAACGTCAGGGTTGGTTCTTGCCATACATGTGCATTGAACTTGGCTCTGGGACAAAGCCTGTCCTCATGGGAAAAAAGGAAAGGAAAAGGAGATCTTAGTTACCTGCAGGAAGAGCACAGAGTCACTGATCTGGTGGATCTGCTCCCTGTTCTCCTTGTCCTCCCGCAGAAGCTTTGCCCTCTCTTCCAGCTCATCCACAATTTCTTTCACGTTCTCGGATGCAATCTTTTCCCTCTGGTCCAGGGCAGCCTTCACTTCATCCCTCTGCCTCTCCAAGTCACGGATCAGCTCTTTGAAATGCTGGTCCACTGTGGCTTTCTCATTAGTGGTGTAGTTCTGCGGACGGAAGGGGCAAAGAGAGGAGGTAGCAGGAAAGACGCAGGAGAAATAAAATATTAAACTTCTCACGGAGTCACTTGCTAATAGAGGGATACAGAGGGGGATACATCCAAGCATTCTCAGCATTTAGACTGTGACTATGGAGACTCTAGGTATGTAGGTCTTAGCACCAGAAAAGTTGTGCCAAGAGAAGTAATACTTGTTCTTGCAATAATTCTGTGTGTGTAATCTACAGGGCATGCTGTCTTCCTGATTATAAGAGCATATCTTTTATTTCAATTAATGAACTGCACTCTTAGGTGATATTTAAAAACACTGTTTAACCTTCTAAATCATGGTTCTGGCTCTTCAAGAATTTGAGGACCATATTCCCACCATTTCAAAGGACGAAAGGTGCTGAAACACTTTCTACAAACCTGACCTCTGGGTCCTTCTGAAATATTCCTCAGAAGGACTGTGGATGTAACTATATTCGGAGTTAAAATTTCTAGGTCAGATTTCCAATAATAATAATAATAGTAATAATAGTAATAATAATAATAAAGCAGAACTGGCAAGCCAATGTGTGTGTACCACATAAAAGGGAGAAGAATGGCTTTGCCTATTAACATTATGCAAATTTTCTGGGGTGTCTCCAAATAGTGTTTTCACTGCTCTATTCAGTTAGGGTATAAATGAAAAAAAAAAACATCATTACTATATTCTAACCCTTAGCGTGGGAAAAGGAGCCCTATATCAGTATGGAAATAAGCTGTTCCTTTATAAACAAGATGTTTGTTGGTGTAACTGCATCTGTTCCTGTTGCCTTATCTCTGTTTGGGCAATCCAGAGCCCTTCTGGAGTTTATTTTTGTGTGTGGTCTAGCAGGAAAAAAAGCAGCACACCTTTGTTTCCGAATCAGCCTGCTTACTGGTGACTGAAGAACTATAAGGGACCCAAAGCAGGGAGGTGCCTTGGATCATTTTGTAACAAGGCTGCGCTGCCTCTTCTTGATCTCCTGCAGGGTGTGTTGCAAGATGACTTCAGTAGGAGTTGTTGTTTCCAAGATTTGGCATGAGTGAGTTTTGGAGAGTGATGAGATAGAGACTGGGTAAGGAATGGAGTGAGCAAGAGCTGGATATGTCAGAGAAATTGAGGAAGGAAGGAGAGGGATGGGGGAGAGTGAAAAAGAAAGGTAAGTGACAAGTACAGGAGAAACAGAGAAGTGAGCTTAAAAGAATATCCCATACGCACCTTGATACGGTCCCTCTCCTTCTGCCACTTATCCATTTCATCTTCTACCTCAATGATCTTCAGCTGCAGTTGCTCTTTCTGCAGTGAAAGCTCAGCCTGTGAGAAGAGGGAAGTCTCATGAACTGGGGCTGAGGGTGGCCTACTTCAAAGAGGCACTGTGCTTCCACTTATGCATTTGGCCCTGAACAATAACAGCTGGGAGGTACAGGTTCTTGGCACTGCTTGAAATGAAGATCATGTGCTGACACTGGACAAGATCCCACAGCTTCTGGCTGGGTCAAGAGATTCAGCTCCCTCAGCAAAGACAGCAGCAGAAGCACCCACCTACTAGGCTACCGTCATGGTGCCGCTTTTAATCACATTAGAGTCATTAGCTGGAGGGGGAAGAGGCCTGTTTCAAAATTCAGCTGTGTATGCAGTGAAGGGCCCATCCCAGGGTGTGCCTCTGCAGCAATAACAGTTTTCATGTAATTACGGAATGACGTTTGACGAGTGTTGCAACAAGAGGACGATGCCTCCGGCAGGAATTCTGTTTAGACAGGATTGTGGATTAATTTGCTCTGAATTGAGAGCTTTCATGTTACGATGAAGCTGGGGAATGCTTGGAAAAAATAAAAAACACAAAAGGAGGAGGGAGGAGGTGTAGTCAACCATGCTTGGCTTAGATCAGCAATTTCACTGGGATTCATTTGCATTTCGTTTTGCACTGGCTTTCCAGAGCAGCTCAGATGAGACAATTGCATGCAAGGGAGTTCACAGAACTGGAGCCCAAGGAGGGCTGGGCAGCCATGCACTGGTGTAATATGCCAGTTGGTGTGCATGCCGTGTCTCTGGATCAGACCAGGATTTGGCTGCTTAGTAATGCCTTGCGCCGTTAACTCTGGGCAACCCCTCCCTCGGTCGTTCATATTCACCACGTCCTTGCCCAACAGATCATGACAAAGCGTTTGTTTACGCATTTCAAGATCTTTCTGTGTTTCATGTGTGTACAGGTTGGTCACAGCACAACTATAACTACAGGCAATCTGGCTACGGGACACTTCTCCCCAGAGCTGTTTAGGAACTACGCAGTTGGCAGAAATTACCTGTATTCCACAACTGAGCTATGTCGCGTTAGAAGAGCTCTGAAAACTCGCTGTTTATGTGGGATCCTTTGGCAAATGGTTGTATTACTGAAAAGCACTTACATTTAGGCCAATAGTTAGAGGCAGGGGGGAGATGAGGGATGGATAAATCCACTCCCACAGCAGCTAACATAGTGAGGTCTCCCTGCTGTTAAAACACAAGGTGTAGTTCCCGCTGGTTTGCCGCCCATCCAAGAACATAATACAACATGAAAACCTGGGTCTTTGCTTGTGATCATAGTTGCCCTCAGAGTGGGAGTTTAAAAGTTTTCAATTCTCCATTCAAGGAGTAGAAAACAGCATCACACGATGAAGAGCAGGCAACAAACTGTCAACCAGCTCAGACTGAGGAAATCAGCCCATCAGGGCTCTTGTCTTGGTGCCAGTCACTGTAGTGTCTGAACATCATCTTGAGCTTGAATCAAGCACAGCTGCATCTGAGAACCATTGACTCTAGCTGTTCCAATTTAGAAAATCTCTATTTATAGAGGGAAAACAATTTGATAGTTGTTTTATTGCCTCATAAAACAGAAGAAAGGGGGAACAAAAAAGGGAAATGTACTCAAAGGTATCTCAATGCCAGTAGAGCTGCATCCTCGTATTGTCATTGTCCTTGTTTGTGGAGAGTTAGGAGGGCACTGGCCCTCTAAATATTATGCATACACCCTAACAGCCTTCAATAGTCAACTGAATGAAGTCATGAGCTCATATTCTACAGGGGTTCAGAGCAGACATGGAAGGGTATCAAGGTGAGAAAATTCACTCTACTACTGATCAAGAGAGTAAAGGCATGAGCTTGATCCTATAGTTTTCACATTTTCAAGATGGTGTCTTGGAGGAATGCATGCTTTTCTCCATTCTCATGTGCACTGCGAGATGTCCTCTGCATCAAGACACAAAGGTGTGCAACCACTTTTGCACAGCAGGGAAATGCAATGAGATAAAAGCATTTTAGATCCAGATATCCATTGCACTGCAGTAACCAATGTGAGAAATTACACTATAATGCAAGTTGTTTCCTTGAGCCACAGAGCTACATCCGGATGGCATTAATCGTTAGCAAAGTAAAAAGCAAATCTCCTGAGCAATGGGAGGTCTTGTTTCCCTCCTCATCCCTAAATATCAGGACGTTCTTATGACAAGAATGTGAGTGAAATCATACAGAGAGGGACTGGAGGGAGTTTTTTGAGAAGAGCAGACCTTTCACAGCTGCGTAGACACTCCCCAACACAAGGGGTTTAAAAGAGAGGTAACAGGAAAAAATTTCAGGTGATGGCTGGAAAGTCATGATGACAATATTATATTTTTATAGTACTTTCTAATTAAGATGGGTCTCAAAGGAATTTTGCAAACTATTACTTGCTCAAAAGTGATAGCTAGCTCTTAACAGCGTGTTGCAGTTATAATATCCCTTCACCTAGACAGGTAGTTTGGGTGCCTCTAGGATGGGATGTAACAACTATTTAAGAGCAGACCCACGCTACAATTTAGAGTGAGAATTATGATTTGCAAATGGAAATTACAGAGATAGTTCCAATAGCCGGAATGCAAATACCACAGTCATCCAGGTTCAGCTTGGGTTAAAACGCCCATACTGAGGGCAAAAGGAAACACTAGTACAGACACCCACAAAGGCAAGGGAGGTGAAGGGAGGTGTTTCATTGCAGGATAGTACAAACATTAAAACTAGTCTTACCATAGAAAAAATGTTAAAAAGAGGTCCAGGGAGACTATGGAATAGTACAAGAACTGGTGACATGGGCACAAGGAGGCGGATTCTGTAGTGATGCTCTGCAGATGGACCACAACGTAAGGGGTTCAGCAAAGGTGATTTCATGATGTTTTTAAGGCCCTGTTTGGTCTGGGGCTGGCTGGAAGATTGCTTTAGCTCTCCACATATATCCTATGTTACATTTACAGTAGGGTGGTTACAGGTACTAGGGACAGTCAACTTCTCAGCTTCATTCCCTATGAAGAAATTTCTCTCCTAGCTTTCTTCATATTTCTCAGATTCTCCAGGGTCAACAATCCCTGATCCCCTTATATGATGGACTACCAGAACAAATCCATTGGGTGAGACTTGGGGTTCAGAAGGTCCTAGTGAAAGATAATATAGCAGCTCCACCCATTGTGGGGAGAGTCCCTACAGTGCAGAAATAACAATAACAGTGAAGAAGATCTAGGAAATGCAGGTCTAGACCATTTGGTTTGACCATAGCAAGTTGAGAACTGCTGGCACTGAGAGCCTTTGAGCTAAGAGAGGATCCCCTATTAGAGTCTAAGTTAATTAGGACAGTCAAGAGGCCTAAGTGAAAGTTCAGAGTGTACACCTAAACATCCACAACTGAACCCAGCCCTTGTGCTGTAAAGGACCTAGAGATGTGCGATTATGAGTCTTGCATCATGATGCAACTTATTTTTGCAAGGCAGCAATACAAGCATCATCATGTCTTAATGCTCTGGGAACCCAGTCCCTGAATCAGGGAACACCCCTGTGTCACCAGCCTGGAAGAGCTATGCTAATTACCTGACAGCAACAACCAAATGCAATAATGAAACTAGAGAAGAAGTGTTTAAACTAGGTGTCCCAGTACAGGGCCCATATTGGAAATGACATGGCTGAGAAATCAGCAAATCGTTTGAGACATTATTTCTGCTGGTTTTGCCATTACATTTTTCTGTCTAAGCTTTTGTTAAGCAGAGGTGGGTGTCAGTGGGCTACAATCTCTGGAGACTCTGCCAGCATCCTGCAAAAATGCCACTAGTCACTGCATGAGCTGAGGCTAGAAAAGGCTCTCTGCTGTGCACAGTTTGAAGAGAATTCCTTACCTGCAAACTGGTGGATTTTCCTTGGGTTCTGCCCTCGCTGTAGAGGCATTAATGCAGAATGCAGGCAAACAGGCAAACCTACTCTAAATAACAATTTGCAGCAGCCCAGCTTCCATAGCCTTCCAGCTAGGAAGAACATCCTGCAGGTAACTGCACCACCTCTGTGGAAAGAGCATCTATTTTAAGCTGTGTCCGCAGAGCAACCACAACTAGTGTAGATAAGGTCTTACAGCCCCATCGTGCCCTAACTTTGCATCAGTGGGAAAGGCCAAAAATCCTTTCAGTGGCACATTGATACACTCTTGTTTGCTCTCTTTTCAGACAGTGAAAGCAATACAGAGACGGCTTAGATGGAAATCCCTCTGGATCCATCTCTGTGGACAGTTGACTTCAAAGCCTAGTTCAGACTCTGTGAAGTCTCCCCTTTTAAAAGTCGCTTTGTTGAAACGAGGAACACCCAGCTCCTGTTTCTTCATGGCAGTTTCTGCTGCCTCTTTAAACCTGCTGTACAATGTGAACTTTTCTTTAAAGGTAAAGAATTAAAGAAAAAAAAATCAAAGTGCTTTTCACTAGAACCGACCTGACACGCTGAGTACTAAGGCTGGCGCTGGATAGTAACGCCAGGTTATTTACAGCTCTGTGACTGGCAGGCATATGTGAAGTTGTCTCGTTTTGAGAATAGGCCTGTAAAACAGGTTTTGAATGAAGGATCCCCTTTCAAAATGAAGGATTCTGTCTGAAAGGGGGGCTCTAGTTCTGCTGATAGATCAAGCTGGCCAGAGAGTTTTATTGGAGTGTGCAAGCTGCTGTTGACAATTCTCACTTTTCAACTGTGTGTGGTTATTACCCAGCCTCACAGACTTTTTCTTGGTTGTTTCTTGTACTGATTCTGGTGGGTGTGTTACTTTTCCTTTAAATCTGTAGCAGGAAACTAATGCAAAGTGGATCTGGGGAAGGTATTAAAGGTTTGCTGGGCAAAATACGCAAACACCACTGGGTGGAAACTCAGAAAAAATGTCTCTGTCTTCCCTGCCAAGTTGTTTCCGTCTGACCCCCTGTGTCTTTCACTCGTGTCTGCTCAACAGCACACCAGGAAGGGGGATGACTGATTCTCACCCCAGGCTCCTGCAAAGTGGAAGATGCTGCTGTGTTCTTCTCTTCCACAGAGAGAGATGTATCAGGCTTTCCACTGCTTGCTTAAATGCTCTAACCAGTAGGTGTCTGTATACTGGCTTGTTTGCATTCCTCTTCTCTTAAGCTGGACTGTCTCTGTCTGCATCGTGGAGCAAGCAGAGCTACCCAATTCTACAAGAGGATCTTAAGCTTTCCCTTGCTTTCCCAACACTGAAGTTCAGCACCTCTCTTCCCTACAGGCCTATAGCAAAGATAAACTCATGAGAGATACTGTAACCTGCATTAATTTTACAATACGAAAGGAATAGGTGTACCTAAAACAAGCATATTACAGCTAATTATGTGACAGTTTTGTGCCACTAAATTGCTGAGCACCCAGATTGACAGTCAGGCTTAAGTGCATCACAGCATAGAAGCCCCGCCCAGTTCTGCTGGAATCCTCTCCAGGTTTGGAGCCGCAGTATAGCTAGGGACTGGGAAATCCCTGCAGATAAACCAATTGTTCCTTGACAACCAACACTCTGTGAAAGGGTCTGTCTGGATATTGCTGTATTTTGGTCTCCAGTCCAGTGGCATAGTTAGCAAATTTGGAGGCAGTAAAGCTATCCTGGAGCTGCTTGGATGCCAAGCTGCGAAAAAGGGGCAGGGATGGGGCTGACCTGATGTGGGTTTTTTGCTTATTCTTTCCACAAAGGCCAGCAGCAGCAGCCACACTTTGCCACTCTTCCAATTTGTGGTCATATTCCAGCTTGGCTGATTTGCAAGACTTGAAAAGAATAGGTGGTGCACACAAGGGACTTGGAAATGTTCATTCCTCTTTGTGGTTCTTGCTAAGGCTCCACCAATGGTGAATAAATCAGGGCTAGGAATAAACATTTGTAAGCAACAGCTATCCTGTTAATGGTTTTCGTCTGAGTGAATACTCACTCAAGTTACAACATGATCAAAACTCGTTGTCAGGAGAAACTTGCACATGTGTATGATTCATCTTGATAAAGCCCTAAATCCTTTAGGCTTAGCAGCAGCAGAAACAGCTCAGGACAGTACAGGAACTAAAGCATGGAGCTAACAAGAGTGGCACAAGGCACTTTCTCTTCTGAGAAAGAAATCAAACGTAATTTAAATCTCAGGTAAAGTCTTCTCTGCCCAGCTATAGTTGCCTCTTTAAAAGCAAGGTGTTCCTAGATCCATTCCAACTACAGGAAGAAGGCTCTGGCCAGCTTTGGTTTCTCAGGGAGCAACTGTTAACCTCTTTTCAGTAGAAACGGCTAAGAGGAATTGGACAACCTGGCAGACACTGGACAGCTTTACGAGAGTTAAGCATATGCTATGTTCAGAGCTGACACCAAAACACAAGAACAAGCAATTATGAAACAAACAGCAGGCTAGTGAGCCCTGCAGGAATTTCCTTAAGAAAGACTGTCTGAGACATGGAAGAAACCTTGTCTGGTTTCAGTAAGGCTGCAAGTTAGAAATGACATTGCAAGAAAAGACCAAAAATTTGTACAGGAAGACAGAGATAAGCTCTAGATAAGATGCTCTTTCAGCCTTATGAGATAAATCTTCCTAGCACCTCAGAAAGAGTTAAACTGTTCTTCCAACAGTGGGTAACTCAAGAATTTCCAACAGCGGGTACGTGTATTTGCCTGTTCACCACATCAGAGCGCTGGCTTGGGCTGTGCCTAAGACTAGGATTTAGCAGATCTTAGTGCCCTTCCAGTTTCTGTCATGGACTGTGATTCTAGGCAAATTGTTTTACATGACCGCTTCATGGGTCTGCTTTCTGTAATCTCTCCTGTCCCACCTGCTTAGATCAGAAGGGCTCTAGGCCAGGACATGCCCTTCCTATGGGGATGTACAGCACCGAACATGGTGATACCCTGATCTTGACTAGAACTAGTGGAATAATCATACATCCACCCAGAAAGCAAACAGCATGAGATGTCCATCCTCTGAACCTATTGTAGTAACACTTCAGGGGAAATCATAATGTTTTGTGTTTGCACCAGGATTTTTTCTTCATCTAAGCTTCAAAAGACCCTTTCCATAGGTGGGGCTTGACACCATTATATCCGTAACAGAAAAGAAAAGAAAAACAAAAAGCCATAATCTCACTCTAAGTAGCTGAGGTGGCAATTTTCAATAGTAACCTAGCAGCCACTAGTAACTTGAGCAGCCACTGATCTGACTACCTGTATTTTCGAGGTCCTGAACTTGAGCAAAGCCCCACCTTTCTGGCTGTGGGTTATACTACACAAACACTGTCAAAACTTGAGACAGTTTTTTCAAAACTTAGCATGTAGGGCTTTGATGCAGCTTCTGCTGAAAGTCAGTGGTGAAACCAGGTTCTCCAACGCCCCCCCCCAACCCAGTTTGCTACACACCACCAGTGCTGTGCTGCTGTCACCAGCCATTAGGAGAACAACAATCCCATTGCAGCAGAACCTAGGCAATATCAGTTCTCCGCTAAACACTTCCCATCCACCACCCCTGCATCCCAGAATTACATTGCAGATGTGATTTTAGGAGAGACTGTAGGTGGGAGAGCAAAAGCTGTCGTGTAATATTGAGGTCCATTGGAAAGACTGATGGGAACGTGCAATAAAAAGAGCATTACCTCTTTTCCCGCTTTCTCGATCTCCACTGTCACTGTGCTGTGGTTCTTGTGCTCCTGGAACATGCAGAGGTAGCAGATGCACATCTGGTCTGTCTGACAGAACAGCTCCATGGTCTTCCCATGCACAGGGCATTTTCTTGCTTCAAAGTCCCTGATGGGGTCCAGGAGCTGGTGGTCCCGGAAAGCTGCTCCCTCCAGGTGGGGCTTGAGGTGCAGCTCACAGAAGGAAGCCTGGCACACCAAGCAGGACTTCACGGCCTTCTGCTTGTTATCGATGCAGGAATCGCACAGAACATCCTCGAGCTTCACCCTGGGCCGTGACCCAGCTGCTCTGTCAGGCTTGTTGAAGGTGGATCTTCTCAGGTCCCCTGTCTCCACCAGAGGGAGGGAAGTTTTCTTCAGGTCCCCCATCTGCCCCCCAGAGAACAACGACTTCCTCCCTTCCCCTTCACTAGGCAGGAAGCTCTTTTTGGAATCCAAGGAGAAGAGGGACTTCCTGAGATCACCTTTCTCTGCAAAGGAGAGGGGTGGTCTCCTCATGTCTCCTATCTGTCCACTGGCATATTGCATCTTCTTTGAATCTGCTGAATCCATGCTGAAGTAGGTTGATCTCTTCTCATCGGACGACTCCACAAACTGAATGATGGGCCTCTTCCAGTCACTCCCAGAGAAGAGGGAGCTCTTGATTTGTCCTGTCTCCAAAGAAGCACCGCCAGTGCCCTTCAGAGCTTCCTTCTCACCTCCACCAGGGTTTGTGGTCTTCTTCACTTCTTCTTCTTTTTTGGGGGCAGATGGACTCTTCACATCCTCTGGCTTCCCAGTGGTACCATTTGTCCTTGCTGCACTCCCCGTTTCCATCATCTAAACAGGGCGAATTGGCTTCACTGCTCAGTCTTTCCTCCAGTTCCTGTCTCTCAGCCCTCTACAAAGTTGGTATGTCTGCCCAGTCGTCTCAGCAAGGAATGACGGTGGAATGCAGGAACGTTTCTGCCCAAGTGACGCACCTGGAGCTCCTGCAAGGAGGAGGAGAACGCCTGGATTATGCTAGGTAGACACAGGGAGAAAGAAAGAAACAGACGTTACCAGGGATCAGAAGCTACAGCTGTGCAGTTAATTATACAAGGCAGTCCACACCCAGCAACATTCTTGTCTAACCAGGTTTGGGAGGAAGGGCTGTTTATACACATAGAAATGTTTTTTTAAAAAAACTCATTTTCATTAAGATGTAGCAACCAGTTCGACCGCTTGTTTCAAAAATAATTTTGCTCATTGTTGCCAGGAGCTGAGGTTACCTCCTTGCAGAGATGGGCAGGGTCGGAGAGACCATGAGATGCCGAAGATGGGTTTGTTAACTGGGTCATACACATGCACAAAAATAATTATGGTTGTAATTAACAATGAACGCCTAGAATAAAGCATTCTTAAACTGGGTTCCCCTGAGGGTTTACTGTATTCAGTAGGACAGGGAGGGGAAACATATGGATAATACTGGGGTTCAAAGACCCTATTATCTTTATTTTTATTTTGATGTTGGGTTTGTGCAAGGTCCATCCATCTAGACCTGAAAATAGCCCAACCATGTATCAGAAGAACACAGCTGACCTGGAGTGAGAATTGGCTAGTCCTGTTTTTCCCACGGGCCATGCAATCTCCACTAAGGTGACTAGTAGAATACAACCCCCATTGCCTATTTCATTGCAAGTTTTCACTGAGATAAGGGTTCAGGTGTATGTTATGTATCTCTTCTCATAAATGTCCACTGAACTGAGAGACATACGTTGGAAGAGGAAATATTTTACAGCTAGATGGCCAAAATATCGCTTGCAAGAAAGAAGAACTGAGAAAGAGTTTTAAAAAGAGATCTGTTCCACTAGCTATATTCCTGGGAAATGTTCAACTTGTTGGAATCACAGAGGATTTCAGAAGAAAAAGGCTCTCTATAAGCACTGGTGAATTGCATCACCTTCAAAAGAAGGAGGTTGATCTTCCACTCATATCATATCAATTTAGCGTAGATTATGCTCTGAATTTCAGTGAGATTGCTCTGAGATTAATGCCCAGGGTGTAAATTAACCATGCCTAAGATTCGTGCTTAATTTAATTTTCACAGAATGCAATGGTGGTGTTGCTGGAGAATGTGATTTTTAGCCTGTAATAATTTCTCATTATAAATCTGTAACAAACCCCCGGTTGGAAATGTCCTAAGTAGTGGAGGAAAAATCCAGGTCTGCATTTTGCAGCTCTTTTTTAGGTGTGGAGGAAATAGAGGTGCAGCCCAAACCAGGAACAGCATACATTTTGGATCTGATATGAGAATGAGATAGCAAGGAAGCGCCTGTCTTACAGATACGGTTTCTAAGGGCTTTGTCTGTGCAAAATGAGAGAAAAGGAAAGAGAAAATTTTTTTCTCTTCAGCTGAAATGTAGTTGGGACTCCTGGCTCGTGGATCCAGCCCCTCTTACTACCTGAATGTCAGTATGGCTCTCTCTAATGTGAGAAATTATTCCGTATATGCTATTTTTTTGGATAACAGCTGTTGGGAAAGGCCGTGCCTTTTGCATTTCTAATGGACAGGTTTTTTATTAATAGGACCATAGTCTTTCGTGAGTCAGAAGTCATTCTCTGGCATAGGAAAAGGTAATGCTATTTTTTAAAAACAAATTTCATAAAATATAGAGATTGGCTGACGTATATCTATTTCTTTCCCCCGGCTTCCTGGGCTGAGCTGATCTTTGTAACATCAACAGCTGTATAGATCTCCAAGTAATTAAAAATACTGCAGGGTGGAGGTACCTGTTCTCACGTGTACAAAAAAGACTTCGCAGAGGTTTTCCAAGCTAGCATTAATACTTAAGAAACAAAAAACAGCTAAATGAAGAGGTGTAACTTGGAAGAACATGGCCTTGGTTTCTCTTGTTTTTCTAACGCTTTGTTAAGATTTGGGAATAGGTAAGGCAGTCAAAAGATTAAGGACTAGATTTTTTCATCTTGGTTTTACTGAAGCAAATCCAGAGTAAATGAGTTTAATCCAGTTATTCCAGGCAGACTTGGGAGTAACTGGGCTCAGGAAGAGGTTTATTATTGATTCTTCTGTCCATGCAGAGGCACATACAAGACTGGGACCCTCCAGTAAGTCAGGTTACAGCCGTGCTTTGCCCAACCTACCCTGATGCCAGCCATGGCTTTAGCTCCTCTGTTTGTTGCAGTACTGGTGAAGTATGGCCATACTTGAGATGTAAGACATTGTAATGTCTATCATCTAATGCTGCTCCAAGCAGACTCGGATGGGTTGTTGTCAGCCCTCGTGACAGTTCGTATGTTCCATAAAGCTGCAGGTTCTGCTTTGGCTTTTGAATAGCTTGGGTGGCATCTGTCCTTGCTGCTTAATTTTGGAGAATCCTCAGCTTAAATGCTCTGTGTCAGACAGAAAGAGGGAGGTCATGTGCATATACACACATACAGACTAATGGAGCCAAGTGCAAACTGGATTTCTTGAAGAAGAATCTGTTTGCCAGTAGTCTGGGCTGAACCTCCCTCGCGTTTGCAGAAAGAAAGAAAGGATGTCACTCACATGTGCGTAAGGAACATTCCCTGCTGTTGCCAGTCACATCTGTGTAATGCCACTTTCACTGGTCCCCTTTCAACCTCAGCTCACTCTCACAGCATCCCACATGCCTGGCATTAGCGCCTTGGGCACGTCCTGCTTGCAAACACCTGTGAAACCATGACGGGCCCACGTGTGACCAGCAAGAGCTAAATGCATCACCTCTGCTGCCACGCGTCCTGGGACTGCAGCTTTGCTCCGTAGCCAAAGGCCAAGCCCACTCTTTTCCCCATCATCTCTCTGCACCTCATCACACCTAATCATGTCTTTTTCATGCCAAAACATTGTTTGCAGTTGGGCCCACCTCTCTCTTGTTATTTCTGGCCTCTCCTGGGAAATCTACTGTTCACACCTGTCTGAAACTTGAGGTGCACGTGGTCTTACTGGTGCTTGTAACCACTGCCAATGTTGGCTAATTCTGCCTGGGAATCACAGGAGGACTACCGGAGTTAAAGGGCAGTTTGTTACTTAAAGGTAGTTTGTTAGACAGTTTGTGCTTTAGTTCTCAACCATATTTAGAAGACTTCTGCGCATGTATTTCAGGCAATTTAGAAGCCGAAGTAAAGTACAGACTGGACGTCTCTTTATTGCAGGCTTTATCTTTGCACCTCCCAGAGGGTGGCTCCTGATTTCTATAGCATGAGTTCACACTTGTGTAAGCATCATCTGTGATTTTTGCACCAGCTATCCCTACATTTCCTGCAGAGGACAACTGTCTCCTATCTAGTGCACTGCGTCAAGCCGATCACACAGTATGCCCATGTCTATGCCTCTGACTCAGAGTATACACCCACGTTTGGCATCTGCAGTGCCTTTCATCTGAAAAACTCGGAGCGTTTTTCAAAGGTTCACAAATTAAACTTGACAACACCTTTGCAAAATAGGTCTGGGTTGCTAACCCCATGTAGCAATTAGGGAAACTGAGGCACGTCCTGTGGCACTGACTGAAATTTTTCAGCAAAAATGAAACTTTTTTCCTGAAATAGCTATGCAGCCTTTTTGCTTGCTTGTTCTCTTATTTTTCATGATTATGACCCGTCTAAATCCTTGATTTTTTTTTTTTAATATTCCATGATGCATTTGTTCTTGTTTTGAACTTCATTTTTTTCACTGCATATACACCAGTAAGTTTGGGTAGTATTGCTTGTACTAAAGTGTTTCCGCTGCGCAATGTGCTGCACAAAAATCTTTATAGGTAGGTACCTAAAAAAAAATAAACTTCCCCAGGATGGAAAAAGTGAAAAAATTGGGTCCATTTCAAACTAAATAGAATAGAAACAGTTAAGCCAACCCCAGGGCACTCCTCTAGACAGGCTCCGGAGCAGAGTTTCAAACACCAATGACTGATGAAGTCATGGAGAGTCATAGAGAATTAGATCAACCAGCCCATGATTCACTGGCCCCAGTTCTCACAACTACTCCAACCAAACTAGGAGCGGGGAACCTGTCTGTTAATTGCCTACTCTGTGCTCTACCCACTAATCCACATTCCCTTTCACATCCTACGTATTTTCAGTCCTTTCTCATTTCTTACACCTTTATATAAAACAAGTCCACAGCTCGGAAAACGTTACGCTGAAAGGCATGCACGCCATTCCTGCGACAAGAAAGCACAGGAAATCAGTCCGTCAAGCATGTAGATGCCATTGAGCAATGACCATGCGTTAACCAGCTCCTAGCGTAACAGCAGAGCAGGCAGAACGAGTTCAAGGCTTCGTGTTGCTTTCACACATATCAGATTCAGTCAGCAATGCATCCAGATAGATCGGTAGAGCTATCCTGGTATAGAGCACATGGGGAAAAAACAATGCTGCAGGTGTGCTTAAAGCAGATCTACAGATACTCTCAGAACTGTGATTTATATAAGATAGACTCAATTTATATGGCATAAACTTAAGTTCAGATATTTGTGACAATTTGGGCTCACCGCCTCCATGTGATAATCAGCTGTGTGTCCCAGAGTAGGTGATGAAGGGATGGAAAACTGAACCAGGAGGATCCAGTTATTTGGGGGATGCATTTTCACGTTAGGGGGCATGCTGAAGTGAGAGCTCAGTGAAGATGTCCAGGACCTGGCTTCAGATACGAAGATTCGGATTTTTAGGGTAATGTGAGCATCTGAATAGCTCCTCCAGGGTACCATGGCAGGGCAAACACAAGCTTCCTAGGGCTTAAATCAGGCCTGCAGGCTATGAGCTGGACCATGGGGAATCTTAATTATTGAAACAAGTTACAGGAAGGATATAAATGCCCA